CTTCTGGTCTATCTAACTTCCCAGATTCCCGTCTTATTTTGGCTCTAATCTGTGGACTGCTTTTATGTAAGTATGTCTGTTTATAATGGTTATGGAAAAGCAAGATTTGTATCTTGCACCAAAAATATTCAGAAGTAAACCTCATTTATTTTATTTTTTTCTCTGACTCACCAGAGGGGTTTGGTGTTCCACTTTCTCAGAATTACAGGAAGCAAAACTACAGACCATGGTATGGATAATGGCATCGAGCCTTTTCCTCAGATTTTCTAGATCAGCATTGTGCTGCTGACAGGGATGGCTCTGTGGTGGTTCTTAGCAACAGAAGCCCATGGCTACCCCATGGTATCTGTCCCTCTCTGCAGAGATAAGGTCCATGTAGCTTGACTGTTTCCCTTCCCAAACCCCATTTACCTGTGCTACACGTAAAGCAGTATATTTCTCCAACTATGTGTATGTAAAGAGAATTATTTTGTTTTGGAAGCCGATCACTTAAATATACGAAGTGAAAATAGCTATTTTAATTACCAGAAAACTTGGGAAAGCAGTATCTTCATATTAGATGCCTGGCTGTCACGTTGTACTGCGTGAGATCTTCACCTTCCTTGCACAGAACTAACTTATGTATTTCTAAGCCACAATTCCTGAGATAATTTCTCTAAAGGGCATGGTATAAACACTAATGTTGTGTACAAAAGTGCATTTTACACTTGTCGCATTTTTATCCTCTATGGCAATACAAGAATGTGTCATAACCTGGCTGTGGCCAGACCTGATCCAGGCAGTGTTGGAATCACAGACTGGGTGTTAGGTCAGGATTCGTATTTATTTCTCTCTTCTAAATAGAGATATTGTGTGTTGGATGATTCCCTGCTTCCCATTTCACAAAATCCAGCTTGCCAGTGATGTTAGTTGGTTACATTACCTCTATTTCTAAAATATCAGTGAAAAAGGTTGTTAGAAAGCTTGCGATTTGTATGACATCTGGCAGAAACACAACACACCAAGGCACGTTGCGCAGTGATCATATTATTTTCAACTGTTACAATGAATTGCTGAGATAGCAAATCACTCCAGGCAACATGGTCTGAGCTAGAGGCTATTTATTTGATCTCAGAAAGATAATACTTAAAGCATTAAAGGCCACTGCAGAGTAAGGTTTAGATCAGTGGTTACATACACATTCTCTTAATTCTCCTAATGCATTAGATCCAGTCCAGTAACCTCAGGGAGGAACCTTTTGGCATCCCAAAACACATGCCCAACACTTGCCCACATAAGGGCTCCCCTTTCTGCGCTATCATGGCACTACCTTACAGTGGGTTGGTCCCTAGGTAGATTAGGTTGGTTGCGGTTGGACTATGCCGGACGACAGCTTGTTGCTACTTGGTTTAAAGCAGTTTTTGGGTATCTGGCTGCTGATGCCTATCTTTGCCATGGTTATCTCAGTTTACTAAGCTTAGCTATTAAGTTACTGAAGTTCAAATGCTGCCTTTTATGGTAATTAATTTTTTATTTCATCTGTTGCAATACTGTGACACTTTACAACACCTACCCCAATCCCAGGACGGGGCTGCTGATGGGCAGAGCAGCTCCCCATCTCCCACCTCTACCTGGGCTGCTGCTTTTCCTAGGAATTGCCTTGCAAACCCTCCCAGAGCCGCTGGCTTATCTCATGGGCTGACTGTCAGGCATCCTGAGGACTCAAAGGAGCTGAAGCAGCCCAGTAGCCTCAGGAAGGCCTGTGCCCAGTGATGCCTTTTATCTGCCACAGATAACCTACCCACACTTGTTTATTTAACTATGTTTTTACTCACTGGGGATTAAGAAGCCTTTCGCTTCCAAAAACAAGTCCTACTCACGAAGCAGTTATGAATGAGCTCTGCTTAGCATCAAAGATGGCTTTCCTGTAGGTATCAAAGGCAGTAGGTTTTGGCTGGATGATACATGTACTTATTTTGAGTGGGTCAGGTTTCGCTTTGTTTGATGCTATATCCTTAACGTCTCCTGATTTGTGATTATTTAGCCTTTTTTTTTTTTTTTTTTTTTTGCTACTTATCTATAAAGTAATGGAACTTCCAAGAACATTTTTATTTCAGAATTCTCTTTATTTTAAAATTCAACAGATATGTTTCATACCAAAATAGAAGCCAAAAGAGACTTGGTGTTATTTTCTTCTTTTAAGCCAGACTATAATTTTCAGGGTTTTTTATAACCAGACACATTTTTTTTTTAATGAATCATTACAACTTGTCATGTTTATATCTCCCTGACAATACCCAAACTAAGTTTTGCAGGCACTTTAGTGATCTTTCCATCAGTGCTTTTTCACGACAGATTCCAAGATATCTGACAGGCTCTTACAGTGTAATGTTCAATATGTCTGACTGTCTACAACTCTGCCATGTGCCTTTCTTCTGCCTGGTCTCCATGCTACCTACCCCCTCCATTTCCATTTCCATCAGCTCTCCAGTTACCTGAGTGCCAGTTGCCCTCCTGGTCATACCAGTTGCCCTCCAAAAGTCTCTCCATTGCCAGACTCTGCTTTTGCAGTCATGCACACAACCTTAATCACTCTTCCTCACTGCTGCTGAGCATATATGAACTTTTCAATCTGGAGGCTGAATTAAAAAACACTTACACAACAATTATTTTTGGAAACAACAGAAAAATGTTGAGTGTATGAAACCCTCTTCCTACCTGAAATATCCATTTTATTTTGGGGGTCTTTAGGGCACTTGTATACATTTTATTTTTTCTTTTTAATTTATATTTCATCCCATTAGCTAATAAAAAGAAAGTTAAAAATAAAAGTCAAGTGTATCATTTTGAAAATGTAAAACTGAAATATTTCATTTTTTTTCCAACCTTATTCCCTTCTCTGTCCTTCAGATTTAGGAGGCAGTACTGACCTCACAGGAATCTGCTTTTTGGGAAATACTGCAAGTAATTTTTCTATCACCATAAAATGTGGTGATATATGAAATCATAACTGCAGTAGCTTTTATTTTTAGCTTCTTTCTCTGTTTTGTGTGATCCTTCTGGTAGTAAGGACAAATGTCTAGTCCATATACGTAGTTCTTCTGGTAAGCTTCATATCCAGAATGTCTTTAGAATCTGTCATTTTCTACTAAAAAAACCCACTGCTTTGCCACTGAGACATCAAGAACCAAGTAGTTTCTTTAGAGGATTTTCACTCCACTTTTTATTAATTCTCAGATTGCAATTATTTTTCTTTAAAGTCCAAGAGAAAACCCAACATAAAAAATCACCTGCAAATTCAGAACAGACTTGTGAGGGCACTCTTACTGTTTTGGTCAAGGACCTACTTAGCAATTTTGCAAAAGATTACTTGATTCACCTTGTCACTTCAACTGATAATGCAGTCATGGATCTGAGAATTTAGTCTGGGTCCATTTCTACTTAATCGAAAACATATCTTTAACTTGAGCCAAATTTTCTGGCCAAGGCATTGATGCTAATTTAAGCATTTTAAAATAAACACAAATATTTCACTTATTGCTTCTTTCATAAGTCAGCATTTTCAACCTATAGGTTATGAAGAGAATAGCACTTTAAACTTTCCTCCCTCCTACACCTTTTTTAGGATTTTTTTCCTCCGTTTTGTTTTTCCATTAGGAAAAACAATGCTCAGTGTTAAATGTATAGCTGACTGAAATCCATATATTTTAAAAACAATAGTAAGTAAATAAGTACAGAAACAAAGACACTGGTAAAACTCCAAAAGGGGAAATACTGTTTTCATTCTGATTCTGATATAAAATATTTCAACTGATGTAGCTAGAAAAACAGAGTGAACTGGATGAAGACATGAGTTAATTCCATCCTGATAAATGTCTAGGCCTAAAAAGTAAATTCTTATCATGGATTTTCTTTAAAACAAGAACTGAGGAAGGAAAGTTTGTCTATCGTATCCTTAACTTTGAAGAAAATTTATCCCAAATTCTGCCATCCTACTGTGCCTGTACAAAAAACGATAACTAAGTGAATGCCTAAGACACTGTTTTGAGTCAGCCATCCTGAGTTAGTTACTTAAGGCTCCCCGCGCAAAGCTCTGCAGAGTCATGTCTTTAGACTGAATTCATAGAGAACAGGATAGGAATTTCCTTAAATTTGACAGCAGGAAAAAAAATAAGAACAGTTTATGTCTTGAATCTTTATTCTCTTACGGGCTTAGGCTGTACTTAGCATTGATGAATGCGTATAGAGGGTGCTATATCCGTTGGACCCTTAGAAGAATTTGCCATGGAGGTAGAAAATGTGGATCTGAATCCACTCAAGCTGTAGAGGACCCTGTACGCAGGTCTCCTTTACTCTGCAAAAGAGCTCTGATGCTTGAGGTATTGAAAATCGCAGGAGGAAAAGAGATATAGGGAGCCTTGTTGTAATAGATGTTAGGCACATTCAGGAGCAGAAAGCATTTAACAAAGGTTTTGAGGACTCTATTTCTGCATTTAGCTGCCTAAATTCCACTCAAGTCTCTTTTTGGATATAAAGCACCTTTTTGTTACCAAAAACCCATCGGGGTCATAGTCTTTTAGCATCTCCAAGCACAGATATTGTAGATACAGAAAGAATAAATGCCTTAGTCTGCAAAACACCCAACAACAAAACATCTCTTCTTTGTTTAGATACAGAAAGAATAAATGCCTTTTAGTCTGCAAAACACCCAACAACAAAAATAACATGAGTTATTGCTAACTCTTAATGGAATATGGCTCAGGGTCTAGTTTCTTGTCCCACCTAGGGCAAAAGCAGCAGCATCACCTTAAATAGGGATACTTCTGCAAACATCCTTGAAAAAGAATAAATTTAAACACAACTTGGGATGAGGTATTATCAGTACATTTCTCCCACAGCATTTGGGCAGTGCAGGGAAAAGCCAGTAACCCAGGCAGTGGTGGTAGGAAGATTTACATAGAAGTACGTACGCATTGCTCACTTGCTCCAGCTGGACCAAGGAAACAAGTGAAACACAAGTCTACACAGCAGGCTGCTTTAAATCATCATTCTGTTTTATGAGTATCACACAGCATTTCCACCAATTAACACTTGATAGCAGTTAAGTAAGGACCACAAGTTTACTTAAGGAAAAGCAAACAACCTATTTCATAGGCACTGACTCCTCATGAGACAGCAGCGCTTTCGGAGGGCTTGGGTAGTAACCAGCAGTTGCAGAGTTATTTGAGGAAAATCGTGTAAATCTGTAATCCAGTGGTAAATCTGAAAAACAAAAACAGACCACATCTGATTAGCAACACAGCCTGTTTCACACAAAAAAATAAGCCTGTGATGAACAGCAATACTTCTTAAGTCCTTGAGCTGGTTGCTCCCTAGTATTAGAACTCAATCAGTTTTCACGGTTACATATTTATTTGACATCTTCAGCCATGGTAGTGATTAAGCTCAACTGCAGGAGCTCCTTGATTGCTGCAGTAAGGCCAGTCATAGAAAATGATTAAACTAATAATTAAAAATTATACAAAAATCTTCATTAAACCTATATAGCATTTTCCCAGTAGGAGCAGCTTCAAGTGCACTCTTTTTTTTTTTCCTCATGGCTATTGTAGATTAGATTCCCCAAAGGCACCTGCTCTTAGACTTTCTGGTAGTGCTGTGTTAACAACAACACCTCGTATGAGGCATTCTTAGAAATCCGCACTTGTATCTTGGGATACTCATCACTTTCTGTCCATAAAGAAGAGTGAATATGTTAAAACAATCCCAAATACTCAAAGCTTTCTTTTCTGTAGCCTTTCTAAAAACGCAAGCAGTGATATAGTCCCCTTATTGATACTTCCCTTACTTCTCTCTTATTCAAAGTTCAATAGACCAAACTAAAAATAACTAAAATTGTTTATTTGTTCAAAAAAGTTACCCTTCCAATAAATGACAAACCAAACAGGAGGATAGCTCCTTCCTAATCTGTTTAAAAAACAAAAGCTAAAAACTCTTACTCAGCACATCTAAGCAGTAAGTTACCAGAATGACAACCTTGTTCTTTTAAATTTGGAGTACATTCCAGTTGATGTTATAATATTACTACAGACTATTAACTTTTTTTGCATTCAGCTGCCCTTGTAGTCCCCAGATCACATCCTTAGCAGTTTCGGCACAAACAATAGGAAGTTCAGCTCCCTCTCACAAGCAATTCATATGCAGACACCAGGACAACATCCAGACCTGCTGGTTTGAGACCATATAAAACACAACTAGTAAAAGAAAACAAATTAGTTGTATGTCAAAAAAAAAAAAAAAACCCAAACAGATACAGGCTGTAATGAAGCTGGAATGGGAGGAGACAGGATTACAAGTGAATTAAGCATTGATTGCTTTATTAAGTGGGTTACTTCAGGCTGTGGAACAAGTACATTTTATCATTTTGTCTGAGTCAACAAAATCTCTAGAGCCTTTTCTGAGCACAGCAAAAGAACAGGCAGATGTTTTTCTAGCCTACTGAGAGCCCAATGAAAATGTTGCCTGCTGAGTCTATTTATGACAGCTCTATTTAAAATGAAGGTTTCCAAAATAAATCAGAACAACTAAGTAGGCATGTCAGAGAATCATTATAAACTATAAAAAATCAAGTGTTATACAGTTACTTTTATATTTTTAAAAAAGCTTTTAATTCCAGCACTTTAGAGTCTCCCAAGTGTAGTTTAACCAGAGATGCATAAATGGGGCAGACATGCTGCGGAGTTGCTTATGTCAAAGAAAGGACCTAAATGGCAATTTTGCTCGTATTTTATGGTAAAGTAGTTTTAAACAATCAGATGAAACACCAAACCCATTCTGTTTACAAAGCACATGACTCCAACAGGAATTTTTTTTTAGCATATTCAGAAGCCAGTCTGCCTATTTAAATATTGCTTTGTTCTGAGCAAGATGACTTTGGAAGATTACATGGAAGAGAAGGTGTCTACAATGTTGAAAATGTTATGCAAGGCATCACTGAAAGTTACACAAGGTCTGAAGCAGACATTACCCACTAAGCACAGTTTATTATTACAAATAATAATATTACAATTTTACAATTACATCACAAATGTAGGAAAAATATCCCTGCTTTTTCAGGTTTGTTTTTATCAATTATTTTATTTGCGAAAACTGTTGCATCTGATTTGTCCAGAGTATGTAATCCTTATACTATGCTTTATTTGACTAATATATTTATGAAAAACCTCTGGACCGATACAGAAAGACATACTTGGAATATTTGTGGCTATAAATAAAACCATATTTAAGAAAAAGAGGAGGTAGGCAGGGAAAGAGAAATGAGGATTTTGATTGGGTAAGTGCCCGATTTATGAAAGTACAGAAATTTAGAGAATGTTATAGATGAAGTCCATCATCAGTTCTTTTGGATTAAGTTCTCTGAAAGCTTTGCAACTTCATATAAATTGCTCTTGCCCTGCATTGCAAAAGTATCATGTGAACTGTACACCAAAGCCCCATCTAGCTTCTTGTGATATATATGGTAATATCACTAGCTCCAACAATACTGACTTATCTTCAAAGAATAATGATAAAGGTCTTAGATGTGCCTCCTGGACACAGCCGCAATCCATTTTATATCTTTTTCTATCTCATATCATCACTTATAGAGAAGAAAAAAGCCAATCAGTTTTGCTACATTGAAATAGTTGCACATCCAACAACCTTTTGCAAAAGAAAATACAGTTTATGATAGCAAAGCAAGCCTCAGACTCGGGAAAAAAAAAACAAAGAATAAAGTTGCATATTTCTAAGTTGATTGTTTTCCTAGTGTTTTTGCCAGTAAATTTCTTCTTCAGACTCTGCTACTGTCCGTACAGACAACTGCAGCTGCCTTGGCAGACCCTTGTATCTTGGCATCCCTTTCTCATCTAAACCTGATGGATAGTCCTAAACTAGGCAGGGAGTAGGTATCCAGTCTTTAGAGAGATATAATCTGGTAGCAAGGATCAAATTGATCAAGTAGCAAGAATCAAATCAAGTAACTCGCATTGATAATGAACTCAGTACAAAACTCATCAGATATTGCTACTCTGCTAAAAAAACCAAACTAAATAAATAACTTGAGGATGGAAGAATGAACTGGCTGGCTCTACCAAAAGACTTTGAGGACAAAATCCTGGGAATTTTCTATCATATCTAGGTAATTCCACCAAGACCTGTTTGGTATCTAAGACAAATAGGATATTCACTCTCTGCACAAGTTGACATTTCCTCCTATCCCTTTAGATTTATTGATAGATAGGGTCTAGCTGCAAAAAAATGAGAGGAGGTTAGAAGAAAAGGAGAAAAAGACACCAACACTCATAACAGAGGGGAAACCCCTAGCCTGGTATGTCCCTTGCTATGTCTTAATGAGGTTATGCTGCCCCATCACTGACCAACCAGGACGTATTTTCACCACTTCGAATTCATGGAAAATTGACTGAGCTATGGCCTTCCAATACACCCCTGCCCACTGCATTCATATATGGGAATGGATATACTATCTATGCTGAGGAAGGCATATGTATGGAGGCTCAACGTACCAAGCATGAGGCTCCCAGGTCTATGTACCAAGCATGTGCCAAGAAATGAGTCAAACTCCCAAAAGTCGGAAATGGAGGGCTTAAAGGACTAGGTTACTTTTTAGATCTAGCAACTTTTTAATCATTAGATGTTTTCTCCTGAATTTCTGTTCCACTTCTTTCTGTGCTCCCATACCAGAGGCTGATTGCAAGTGACTGATGAAAAAGTTTCCTTGGCAATAACCCTTCAGAAGGGGTTACTAGCATTTCCCAGTGGCTTGGGCAGCATTCAAGGATTACAAACGTAGACTGACCACATGAGTTCACTTAGGGAGGGATTCCTGCATTGACCTATGTCTCTGGCAGGACTTAAAGTCCCAGTATTAATAAAACGGTAGAGATGACATTCTACCGTGAGGCTAATTCCAGTTACTAAGCTGCTGTCTTCCAGTAATTAGGACGTAGTTATCACTCTTGCTCCTTATTCTGCTTTGATGCTTATGCATGCGTACATACCTACAGGTATTTAGGTGATGCTGATGGATTCCCTAGTTACTTAACTGGGAGCGTCTCCACGTCTGTCTGCTACTCATTTATTGTAAGGCAGCTAAAGGAAGCCACAAGGTTTTTTATCAGGAGAAAAACTAGAATTCCAGCCACAAACAGAGTAAGAGGAAACATAGTATTCTAGATGAGTGATCAGGAAAATATTTGAGTTACTGCATGGAAGACAATTATAATTTAATCCAGACATAGTCCTGCTTGATAAACTCTGTATTCTAGCCTAATCCTTTTTTTTTTGAGATTTCCTTGAACAAACCAATGCTTTAAGAACAAACCGTGCATTAAGAAAATATAATCTTAACTAAGCTCTTTAGCTGGAAGATTTTTTTTTTAATTAGAAGTGAAGTGCAAGACAAAATACAAGATTTCTCCTAGAACACACAGAAAAAATGTCATGAATCATTTTGCAATATTGACCAACAAAACCAAGCCAACATTTTTTAATCATGACACAACAGCAGCATTCCCCTGACAACTGAGAAGTACTACAAAAAGCAGAATTTCCCTCCCTTTTCTGAGATCATCATCAGCCTGTCAGCTGGGCTGGAGCCAAGAGGCAAAAGCTTCATAGTAAAGAGGACTGTATTCTTAGCAGAGTCAAATATATTCTCCTGATTATACCAAAGAAATGGCAGAGAGAAAATCTCTTCAGTGAATAGCCAATTTTTAACTCTAAAATGTTTAAATTGCTTAATTGGGACAAATCTCAAAAACCACACATAGAACTCGATCATATGGCTCTCCATCCATGTAGTATAACTATAAGGGCAGATTGTCAGCCATCATTAATTCTCTTGCACCTGCAGGAATTTCATTGATTTATACTAGCCTAGCAGCTTTGCCATAAATCTTTGCTTATATTTCATAATTGTTTTGGAAGAATAAGGAAAACAATAATTTCTTAATTACCATTAAAAAATAACTTCTTAACAGTGGACTAGGTGTTGCTGCTGGAGAGCTCACTAGTTCGGCTCTGCTGTGATGATCAACTCTAAATTCGCCAATCTATAGGCAAACTAAAACCTGGGTTACTGTTTTATCTGCTGTTCTATTTGTACTGCATAACAACCAAAACAGTGCTTGCAGCCAGAGCTCAGAATGCGAGAGAGCATTCTTGTGGCAAAAAGAAAAGAAAAAAGAAAACAAGGTCACAACGAG